AGAGAGAGAGAGAGAGAGAGAGAGAGAGAGAGAGAGAGAAGAGAAGAGAAGAGAAGAGAGACGAAAGCACAGAGCTGAACTGTCGTGCCACATGGGCCCAGTTTTTACACAGGTAGAGCTGGGAAAGTAACTTTACAGTGTATCCTGTATATGAAACTAGGAGTCACATACCTGGGCCCTGTATCTGTCCAAGGCACTTATATGTCCCCATATAACCATAGCATCTGAGCAGCTTACAATCTTTAATGTACTTATGCTCCCAACACCCCCATGAGGTAGGGCAGTGCTACTATCCCCATTTTACAGATCAGGAACTCAGGCACACAGAGACTGAGGTCACACAGGAAACCCACGGCAGACCAGAGAATTGAGCTCAGGACTCCTAAGCTAGCGTCCTAACCACCGGGCCATCCTCCCACCCTATATGCACTGCAGAAGTTCATGGGCATGAGGGTCTGTGCATGCTGAAATGAACCTTCTCTCTATAAATCAAGCCACATAACTCTGTTATGCAACCCAATTTAGCGAAAGACCATTTCTTCCAGCTGCTCGATTTTTCCTGATTCTCTTTGGTGATCTTTTAAGATAAGTTTTGCTGCATAGCCAATGAGGTTTATTTACATTCAACATTTGCACCTGGATTTGGGATCCTAACTTTGTGTAGGTGCCCTGTGATAAGGGAAATGGAAATCCAAAGAGAAGGGGAGAGTTTGGAAACTAGAAAAAAGGGAGGATCCAGATCTGGACAAACAAAACAGGGTGAATAAACAAACACAAAAATTCAACAAGGTTGAAGGTGCCAGATTGAAACTGAAGTCCTCTATGCACCGAAGAAGTGCATGGACAGGGGCGCTGAAAGCTTCCCACATACACTGTGCCCCTCCAACCAATGTACCTCAACTCTGGGGCAGAGGGATCACCTCTAGGGGCAAGAGGGCAATTCATTCTTTCTGGCCCATTCACATCCTTGGCAGGCTGACAAGCAATCATCCAATTGTGACCATATTTGTCACTATTGACCCAGGCTGGATTCAGACTGCTGATTTAGGCCCCACTACCAATCTGCCCAGAGCCATCTAGTCTCCCAGAATTTATTCCCTTTCGAATAGGCTTGACAATCGTTCTGGTACTTACCATTACTATGTTGGCCAGATGAGCAGAAATAAGCGCATAAACCCCTCCAGAGGAACCCACCACTGGCGCAGTCATGTCAGCTACCGATACCGCCAGGGAACCTTGGAAGAAGAAAATGGCTAATTACAATCTCCCACTGATGGGAGAACTCTCCCCCCTGCACCCTCTTCTATGCATTAGGGGCTGCAGTCAGCAATACTGGGGGAGGGAAATACATTGACTAGAGAACCTGACTAAGCCCAGCAGCACTGCCAGGAGAGTGACACACATTCTTTTACATCAACTTTAAAACTACAATCAAATATATTTGATCAGGGTCAGCCACCGTGCTTGCAGCTGCTCTGTTTTGCTTTCGCTCTCTCTCGGTCTTTTTGGTTCTCAGTTGCTTTGTGTTCTGCCTTCTCTCTCTCTCTCTCACAACACACACATACACACCCCTCGGCAAAAGTTCCTGGGTGGGTTCTGAGTTATGTCAACTGAAGGATGACACACCTTCTGTGTCTGCCAGGAAACCCATAACCAGGTTTCACCCAGCTCTTAACAGTATCTTAAAATCTGTGCAGCAAAAGGAATCACAGCTTGGGTTAAAACAGTGAAGAACCATCAAAGAGATAAATGTGTCCCCCAGAGGATAAAATGAAAGTGATTTTAGTCCTGGCAAGATAAACATTTGCACAACGAGGAGGAACTGGAGACTTGTGACTTATCACTGGGTTCTGATTTAAGGGTGAACAAGTGCAGTTTATTACTTAGGAAGATGCAAGAGCAGTGAAGGCTAACAGTAACTCAAATGGTGACAAATGGAGGCTCAAAATGGTGCACCAAAGAGTTTAAGTACAGGAGATGACAAAAAGATGAATCGGTTGCAGAGGAAATTGTGTCAAGAAGGCAGCAAGATGCAGTGGCTGGTGCACTGGATTGGAGGTCAAGAGGGTTTTTATTCCTGGCTCTGCCACTGACACCCCCTGTGTGAGTTTCCGCTGTATAAAATGGGGTTCATGATGCTTGTCCACCTTGTAAAATGCCTTCATACCTACAGAAGAGAAATGCTAACTATTATTAATGCAAGCATGACTTGGTGGAAATCCCAGAACGATCAAGTGATCAGCACCTCCTGCTCCAAACACGTGTGTAACCTCTTGATGGGCCACCCAGGCAGGGCCAGGAGGAGAAAGGCCCAGCTAAAGCAGGGCACAGTCAAGTCACTTTCTCATTTTTATTTACTCTTCATTTTCCAACATGGAAAGAGTTTTCTTCAGCTGGTTTGGGGCCTTTCCCTCTTGACCACTGGGTATCCTGCAGGGCTCAAAATATCTGTGCATCTTCTCCAGTTATCATTCATTGTTAGAATCACACAGTGGCACCAAAAGACCACAGCTGAGGTTGGGTCCTCATTGCTCTAGGCACTGCACGCACAGAGATAGTAAGAGACGGTCGCTGCCTTGGAAAACTTACAATCTAAACAGAAGAGACCCACAAAGTGGGGGGAGGGGAAACAGAGGCACAGAGAGCTGAAGTGACTTACACAATGTCAGTGCAGAGCCAGGAATCGAACCCCCTGAGTCTCAGTCCGGTGCCCTGGTCACTAGACCTCTCTGCCCTCCCAGTGCTGGGAAGAGAACCATAGCTCCAGCATTAGTTCTCAGTCAGCTGAAGGGCTGCTGGGAAGGAAGGATCTTCCTGTGGTTAAGACAGAGATATGGGTTCTGTTCTCAACTCTGCAACTCACTTCTCGTGTGAGCCTGGGCAAGTCACTTTGGAGCAAGCTGTGGTTCTTCCAGCCACTGGGGCCCTGGGCTATCTAGTGTTGCTGGCAGCACTGACTGCCCCACAACTTGCACTCCAGGCACCAAGCACTGGGTGCTGAAAGGAGGAGAAGGGATCTCTGTCCTCTCTTACACATTTATGCAACAGAAGTCCCAGTCTGACCATTGATAACCCCGTGTCTCAGTTTATCCAGCCTGTGAAATGGGTGTATACACTGCCCTACAACACAGGGTATTGGGAAGCTTATGTCATTAATGCGTGGGTGGGGGGTTGGGACTTTGGAGAGCCTCCCATGGAAAGTGTTCACATTATTCTATAGACTGTAAACTCTTCAGAGTCAGGATTGTTTTGTACAGTGACTAGCACAGCAGGGCCCCATCCCGACTGGGGCCTTTGAGCGCTACCAAAAAGAGAGATTTAATAATACAAACCGTGCAAAACTTGTGGTGGTTTGGTGTCTTCCCCCAAAGCCAGCCCCAGGTTCTCACACCTCTCGAGCAGATCTGGGCTCAATGCTGGGAGAAACCAGCTGACAAGTCTGCCAGGAAACCAGCTGGTTCATACCAAGCTTCACTCTGAGTTTTTGGATTCGTCTGACATCTTCAGAGGCGCAGTGATGCTGAGCTTTCCAATAATACTCTTGGGTATTAGGGTTCTAGCTGCCTATGCTGGGGCTGTGGGGACGTCCTGGAGAACAGCAATGGCTGGCTGTCTGGTAGTTAAACTCTCTTCTATTAACGACTTTGTTCTCTCTTTAATGAAAGCGGGGCCCAGTGATTCCCTGGTGACTCTGGCTGCCTGGATTGTTCAGCTGTGCAGCGGTTCTGGCAGCGCGCAGCCTGTACTGCACATTAACCTTGTTTACTCTCGCTGTTATCATCAATGTCATTTTGAAAGGAAAATTAGAGCCAGCACGGTTTGATTTTCCCATTAAGACAAAATAGCTGAAAAGCTACAGAGTTCCTTGCTTCATAAGTAAAACGAGATACTAAGTGCCAGCTGAGCCAAGCGTGACTGCAGCACTTCTAAAGCGGACAGAGAGCCAAGGCCTGAGGGGGTGGTCGTGCCAGGGCTGGGACAGCGCGCTTCACCAGCATCCCCTCGCTAATCCTCCACGCCGCTGTGAGGGAGATAAGCATCCCTCCCCTTGCGCCGAGACGGAAACGAAGGCAAAGAGAACTCAGGCCAAACCCTAGCAGGTGCTGAGGGCCCTCAACACACCTTAGCTGAAACGCAGGAGGCGCTCAGCACCGCACAGAATCAGGACCAACGCGACTTGGGATTGGCATAAAACACTTCTGTGCTCTGACAGACCATGACGCAACAGCTTCAGTGCTGAAGCTCACTCTGCCATGCTGCTCTCTCAAGCTTTCCTAGGTTGAGCTCATCTTCTATGCACTTGTTTTCTGAAACAGCGGCTTGGACACAAACACTTACATCCTCTCTCGGAACTCACTCAAGCACTGACGGATCAAGGAAAAACACCAGTGGGATATCTGCATTCGGGGTCCAATTCCCCTGTGCCAAGGGCCAGCACAAAGCCTGCAAAGTGCGCCCTTAAGCGCCAGGTGCTGCACCCGGGGTGAGTTAAAATGACTAAAGTTGTTGCTTCAGATCACTATTAGATGCCAACAGTCCTGGCCTTATAGTTTACAGGACTCCAAACTGTTCTGAAGAGGGCAAATTGAGCCAGGCATTACCAGAAGGGACCTACAAGCAAGTCTTCTCGTTCCCTTTCTGGTGCCATTATAGAAGAAGGTAATAGAGCCAGCATGTCTAATGGAGTTTCGAAATCCAGATGCAATGTCTTTCTGAAGGTGCCCTAGCTCAAACAGAAGTTACGGGCTTGATGCAGGAACACTGAGTGAAATCGTCCAGCCTCAGATCATGTCATGCTAGTCATGCAAGAAGTCAAATTAAATGATAATGTTCCCTTCTGGCCTTAACATCTATGAATCTATGACTCTACGTGGCTGTACAGCTTATGTGGGATGCAAAACACTATGCCACAGCTTACTTTGCTTGGGTTCATGGCCGGCCCTGGATGCAAACAACGCAAGTGGATTTTACAACTCTGAAAGAAAAATAAAGCATCTAGAGCCAGATGGGTTGGGATACTAGTAGGCAACAGAATAGCCCATCTGCTTCCCATCTTAGCACACTCTCTGGTTAGATTTCCACTGCACTAGCAGAGACAGGGCTCAGCCAGAAAACAAGGACTCCAGGTCATCTTCTCCCTGTCAGGATGGCCAATAAAAGTTGTATGTAAGCTAGAAATTTCAGAGAGCAAATTATGCTGGGACAATAATAATGATGTATCCAAAAGAAGACATGGTTTCTTCTATTCATCTCAATTAGAGGCAGGCTGGGTCAGGTTACAAAGCTCCTTTCACTGTGAATTTTAGAAAGTAATTGAAGAGATGAAGGAGACAAGGCAGACAAAGCCTAAGCCAGCATCACGAGGCAGGGATAATAGAGATTATTTCTGATTAGCAAGGAAGAGGGAAAAACCACACAACGGCAGAAAGCAGCAGAGTCCTAAGAAGGACAAAAAATTTCTAATGGACTTTTATGACTTTGCTAATTACTCTGCTAATACAGAGCTTGATTGTGGCTTAATCAAGCGTCAAGGCTCCATTGCACTAGTCAAACAACACAGACAGGGTAATATTTTAAAAAGTACCTAAGTGACATAGGAACCTAAATCTCATTTTCAAAAGACTTGGGCCCCTAAGTGTCTGGCAAAGCAGGTTCTGCCCAATTGGGGGAAACCACTGATGTTGTGTTACTATACACATCTTATCCCTGCAATGGTGGCACAGTGTGTGCATGGGAAGTTTGCTGGGACATGGCTGGTCATGAGCCAAACACAAAGCTGTGTCTGTCACGACCAAATCTCTCACAGGGCTTGTCTACACAGTGCAGTAGTGTGCAGCAGTGGGGTGTGAATTCTAATGCGCACCAACATGTCTCGCACTAACTGCCCTGTTTAGACTCTGCTGGTGCACGCTTGAAATTCTCTAGTGCAGGTTAACATAGCCCTTTTTCAAATACCACTATGTTAATGAGCAGTAGAGAACTCTTAGTGTGAGCCAGCTGTGACCCAGGGACCTCTTCGTACTAAATGCCAGGGGGCACAGTGGGTGCATGAAATTTTACAGGGATGTGTGTATATATATCTATATTATATATAGATATATATACTGATTTGCCAAAGGGTGGCATGTGAGGTCTCTACCAAGAGCAAGTAGTCTGCAGGTCATCATAATCATCACAAAATGTATGGATGGATAATATTTAAGAAGTTATCTATCTGTACTAAAAATTATGTTCTTAAGGTCTTGGAGGTAAGGCAGGTCACCACGAGGTGACATGCCTCAGACAGGCTCCTTTCAGGCAGGAAGTAATGGACACTTATCTCCCTCTCTGGTCATATGTGTATTGTAGGCTTCACATTGTAGGCCTTTTTGCATACTGGGCCAGATGCTGATTAAGAGATTCCACCAGAAATGAGTACCCAGGAAACAACCACGAGTAGGGAATAAGGACAATGGACTGTTCTGATATATCTGGGGGTGCAAACAGACATCCGGGATCTTTCACCATGGGGGCAAGCTGACAAGCACGACTTGTCTCATGAATGGAAGATCACAGCCAAGCCTGGCTGTAAACACTGGAAGGACTTGGGTGAGCATCCCTCTATAAGACAGGAAAGTATCTCGTTAAGTAAGTCTAGGTTCTAGAGTGTGTGTTATGATTTTATTTTATAGGTACCCATTTGTTTCAATACTTTTACTAGCTATCACTTGACTCTCTCTATTCTGCTAAATAAACGTTCCCTTGTTTTCACTATAAACATATCTCAGTGTTGCGTGTTAAGCCGAGCGGTGACCGCAGATGGAAGTAGTCGGCTGGGATGTACTGCTTCTTTGGGAGCAGCGAATCTGTGAATACTATGAATGTCCAGTGGAACAGGGTCTGGATCCTCCAGGGAGATGCACGGGGGTTGGAGCGTGCCTATTGTTAACCTGCAGAGAGAGTGGGGCCTGGGTAGGCCTAGAGGAGAATGTGTGTGTTACCTGTGGCCAGGGGAGTTGTGGAGCTGACTCCCAACAGGCACAGACAAGGGTTCCTCATGCTAAGGACAGGTGGTAGCGAGGTGCCTCACAGCTCTGAGTACCCCTCGGAGGCATCACAGCAGCAGGGTCTATGCAGGCCAGTTAGTGCGCAACACATTGCTGTGCATTAGAATTCATACCCCGCTGATGCATATCACTGTTCTGTGTTGACAAGCCCGAGGAGACTGTTAACAGGAGTTTCCTCTGCAAGTAGTTAGTAAATATTTAACTATATTAAATGTAGCTGTCACCTGTCGAGTTAGGGTGTTAAATCTGGAGACTGGTTTCAGTCAAAGTGAGAAAGAAAGGGGTTTAGTCCTGCATTACCTGCAAATCTCAGCACATCCACAACACTGGAGCAGATGCCCCCTTAATTCTGGTAGCTCAAAGACACCCCTCTCCAGGGAAACGGAGCCAGGTTCCTGGGCTCTTATGGAGCCTGGCTGAGTGAGTTGTTCTCTGGCTGAGAAGCTAACGAGGAACCATTAATGAGAATAGTATTTACACAATTAAATCCCTGGGCGCTGTGCTGGAAACGTCCCTTTCAGTCTCACCAGCTCTGCACAGCAAAAGATTCTAATAGCAGAGCCAAGCAACCTGGAGAGAATTAGATTAGAAATAATGAGCTATCCCTCCTGATGAAAGTCAGTTACGGGCAGGGGATGGGCATGTTTGGGCTGCCCCATTTGTTTACAAGCTCTATTGTATCTCTATTTCTTCGATCTACAGCATTAACCTGTGCTCTCTCTCACTCGCCAAGCATAGTTCAAAGCACCAGGAACATGTTTTAAATCAAATGTGTCAAATAACCGGCTAAACCAATGTAACCGCAAAGGGATATCATGTGCTGGTTTTCTGCCTGTGATTCTTCACGTTAACAATGTCCAAGTTGTATTCACCTGGTGATAAGAAGGGATTACTTTCAGCACTGCCTTCCACAACGTACATAGCACCGTTAATGAAAGGAAAAGCATGTACATGAAGGGAAATCCGAGAATTCATTTAGCATAAATAAGGAGCATGGTAGCCGGGACAAACTAAAAGACATGCCCAGGCCATAAGAAGAGTGTGTGGGCCTGCAAATCCTGACTGCGGTTAAAATTTGTCGGTCCTCAAGCAAGAGCAGGCCAGAGCTACCAAGGATAAAGGCCAAGGCCACAGATTTTCTCCCTTCCGGTCCCGCTGCTAGAGGTGGCTCTGATGGCAAGTCAATTCCACCTATGACCTCACGAACAAAGGAAGAGATGGAGTCAGCCTGTGATTTGAAACAACAAACCCTAAATGGTGGCTTGCTTTGCTTGTGCTGCCTGGCATGGGCCTTTCTCAAAACAGTCCTAGTTTTGCACTTTGCATTTATAAGCAATTGTTTTTTTTAAGTCTGTATTTTTTGGGAAGCAGTTAGTCAAACGTAGACCCATCTGCCAAGCCCTGGGCTAAGATGTCAAGTTGTAAGCATATTTCGAAACAGTGTCCAACACAATTTTGTGCCTTGGATCTCAGTTACGCTATGAGAAGCCAGCAGGGTGTGGGAGCTGGTTACCACACAAGAGTACCCAGCCTGGCCAGACCATGTTTCAGTTTTGCAGAGTAAGTGGGGTAGACCCAGATTTCAGCTGGATTCCCACGAGCCACATTTCAGCCTCGGACTCTGCAAATCACAATGGCTCAATAGGCATGGAGTGAAGTTTTCAAAAGCACCTAAGTAACTTGGAGTTCATCCACACAGCCATGGGCAGCACATGAACCCCCCGTTCGGGGAGGCTAGTGTCCAGCCCTGCCCCTTCTACCCGAGGCTCCATCCCTACCCTACCCCTTCCTTTTCCCCTCCCCTGCTGGAGCCCTGAGCCCCCTGCGGTCGGAGGAGCCCCACCCCACCCAGCTCGTTGCCCGGCCAGAGTCCCAGCCTGCCCAAGCCACAGAGGACACAAAGACGTGATCAGTCTCTGCATTTTACTGCAATGCTGTCACGGCCACATGAGATACACACATGAGCTTTTTGGGTGCCCAAACTGAGAAGTCTTAAAGGGGTCTGACAATTCAGAGGGCAGGGGCTGGTACATAAACTCCCTAGTCACTCCTGAAAATCGTGTGTGTGTGTGTGTGTGTGTGTGTGTGTGTGTGTGTGTGTGTGTGTGTGTGTGTGTGTGTGTGTGTGTGTGTGTGTGTGTGTGTGTGTGTGTGTAGTAATATGAATATATCTTGGCTTTTGACTTTGCTTCTCCTTCTGAACTCGTAAATTCCAGGCAGAGTTTAAGGCAGAACAAGAGAGCAATTCTGCCTCCTCCTATTAGAATGGCAAAGGTATTGGGACACTTGCTTAAACCCCAAGCGACTAACACCACAGTGATGCAAATGCAATGTCATAATGCCAAGATCATGCCAGTGTTCAGTGATGCCACGAAGGCCCTAAGTTGGACAAGCCCTGGACATGGACCTTGCCAGTACTTCAGCAGTGGTACATCCCTGGAGAAGAGCTCACCAGGCTGTGCAAGCACTGCATGAGAGCTCTACAGGAAGTGCTGGTGGCTTTTGGGCAGATAAAGCACATTTGAACCAAGGCGGCCACGTGTCTATGCTCCAATCAGCACCTTCACAAGCCTCTGAGGTTTTGCTTAACAGAGGTTGGTGCAAACCACATATTTGGTTTCCAGGCGTGGTTCACTCCTGCTGAGTCTCAGATGGAGCTCTGAGGTTCACTGAAGGCACCTGTGCTGCATAGTTTGCAGAATTTGGCTCAATGTTTAAAAAAATTTTTTTTTAAACAAATGGAAAATTTTGCAATTCGGAATGGGAGCTACGTTCTTTGAAGTACCTGCCTGGCTTTCCCTGCCAAGTATAAATGCATGCACCTCAAAGGAAAATGAAGAGCTAAAAAAATCAAGGCTTCCTTGCTGCTGAAAGAACTGACATGGCAGAGACATGGGGGTACTTTAGTAATTGCTGCCCACATCAGCACCATTGTGCAAGGTCATTCCCAAAATATTGCATCCTGCAGATGCTATGTGCAAGACGGACTGTATGACACCAATGGAGCCATGTTTCGAGTGTTATAACCTTAGTGCTAGAATTACAATGGCAAGGCTAAATGGGCAGCATCATCCCAAGCACGGTCTTTGGCACAGAAAGCAAAGAACTCCTGCCCAAGAATGCGGGCACCTTTCCTTCCATACCATAAACACCCGAACCCTTGAGAAAATTAAACTGTGATACTTCCAGCGCACATTCATCTGGAGTCAGACAAACCACTTACCTGCTACAACTCCAGCAATGTAGACGAAGCCAATCCTTGCTGCTCCATGTACCATTTCGAGGGGAACCCCAACCAGAAGCTGAAGAACAACATTGAGTCCAAGGTGTTCTATCCTGGGGCAAAGAAAAATACCATTAGTTGTGTTCTTCCTGACTGTGTTTTCCCCTTGTTTCCCACGATGTAATTATGTCTTGGAAGAGGAGGCCAAGTGAGCCACAATCTAGATTCTAATCACAGATTTCTTTGGCTCAGTCTATGTAACTTTCATGCATTTTTTTAAGTCACTGACCTACAGCTGTTTTACCATCAATATTCATATCACATGCTCTGATACCTGCATTTGGAGAGACAGGCTGCTATCCCTGGGCATGGGTTTTGTCATGAATCCATGACTGCAAACTCCACCACAGTAAAATCTAAGACATGTGTACGTGGCAAGGGGATAAAAACCAGGTCCTTTGTTTAAAAGCTAAACAAAGCCAAAGCCTAAGGAAGGTTCACCACTAGCTGTAGTCACATTGGGGGTTCTAGCCTTGCAGGCTGCAGCCACTAGAAGACAATGTTGGCGCATAAAATTGAACAGATCTGACATCATCCAATAGAGAGCAGTTGTGATGGATACAGTTCACACTCCCCAGTCATTTATTATAGGGTACCATGGTGGATTCCGTCAGTGAATTTTGTGGGTGGATATTATGTTAGATTTTTATTGTTCCAAAAGAACATTACAAATAATCCCCAGATTAAATGGGCTAATTCTAGATAGAGTGCGCACTCCCTGATTTTTCTGTCAAACCATTTCATAAGAATTCTGTCTTCTCCCAAGATTACACCAAATTCTCTTCATCTTCCATGTTATAAGGGTCACTCTCTTTACAAGAAGACACTTCACCCTCTCAATAGCATTGGTAATGGATCGCTATAAGAAGTTGTCTGCTGATTCAGACCAGCGGTTTTAGGAATGCTCCACACATTACTCGGATTCAAGCCTGTTACTACGTGAACCTGAATAACAAGGCCTAGCCTGGCCTAAAGGAATATATAGCACGGGGAAAACGTGTGAACCAATGCATATAGCAGGAATGTAGAGCCATGAACTATTCACTATGCATTGATCCACTAAATACACTGGGTGATGAAGACAGTTAAGTGAAGATTATGTTTGATTCAGGGGCTAGGAATGCAACTGAGAGAAGATTTCTGGTTTCCTTCTATTATCCAGTTCTGCAAAATCAAATCCATTTGTGAGTATTCTCCCTTTTGATACCAAATTGTACTCTGAAAAGATCAAAACTTTGGTGGCACAGATATTACTGATAAAAAGACAGTGAGTAAAATATCCTGCCTGAAAACATTTTTATCGTACCAAGCAGATGCTATGAAATGATTTCACCTTTAAGTGAAACCCTGTTCAGCGTAGTCCTCATAATTGCCAAAGCATAATTGAAGCTACTGATGCATGTATAAAATTAGAAATAGCTTCTGCATGGAAATAAATAGCAATACTAGAGAAAAGCATGGTTACTGGAATCAGGGGACCCACAACCAAGCTGTTTAGAGCACGTTACATCACTTATTGCTTTTACTGCTAATCCTCTTTTGCAGCCCTTCGGTCCTTTCAAAGACCGCAAAGTTCTTTACAAATAGCAATTGGGCCTCAATACTCTTATTACACCCTTTTCCCACACATGGGTACAATGGAGTACAGATGAGTTAAGTCAAACAGCAAGACAGTGGCAGAGACAGACAAGAGTCCAAGAATCTTGACTCTCAATCTTCTGCTCTAACCACGTGACTGTATGCCAGGGCCGGCTCTAGGCACCAGCAAAACAAGCTGGTGCTTGGGGCGGCACATTTTTAGGGGCGGCATGGCCGGCGCCAGAATGCCGCCCCTAAAAATGTGCCCCGGCCGCCCTAGCTCAACTCCGCTGCTGCTGCCATGGCGCACGAAACAGCTGATTCACGCGCCACGGCGGCTCGGGGTCTCCCCCTCCCTCCCAGGCTCTCAAACCTGGGGGGGGGACTCCGAGTGGCCGCGGCGCGGGCGCCGCTTCTCCCCCTCCCTCCTAGGCTTGAGAGCCTGGGGGGAGAAGGCAGGGCTGGGGATTTGGGGTAGGGGCGGAGTTGAGGCGGGGCCGGGGGTGGGGTAATTAAAGAACCGGGGGGGCGGCCAAAATTGTTTTTGCTTTGGGCGGCAAAAATCCTAGAGCCGGCCCTGCTGTATGCCCTCCGGCTCTGCACATCAATTTGACATGTGAGTTTCAAGGCAATTCTAGGTTATGTGCAGCTGTCCCACGACAGTTCCTTTTTCGCCTTGCTGATACACAATGCTGCTTCAGGATTCCTGCTAGTAAGCCCCACCCCCCATGTCCTGACATTTGCTGGGCCTGTCCCTATCTGCTCGTAGCAGCCAGGAGCAGAAAGAAGGTAGAGATTTCACGTTTGGCTGACATAGGTTGGCTTCACGTGGGGGATCTATCAAGTGCTAGGAGGGATTGTGAAAAGCACTCAGGGTTGACCTAGCTCTGCTCCTACTAGAGTCAATGGTAAAAGGCTGATTGGCTGCAGCAGAAACAGAGCTAGACCCATGCTGAGTGCTTGTGCAACTCCCACCTGCAGTGCAGAACACAATGTCAAGGCTGCCTGCGGAACTCCAGCCTGTCGTTCACAATCCCTACTGTGCACGTTAACAAGTGCCATCCTGCGTGGGAGCCAGGCGGAAAGCGTGAATCCCAAGCAGATGCATCTGTGAAAAAAAAGACACCGATGCTGTAGATTTCTGCTGTGTTTGGTCATGAGTTTAGAACAGCAAAGATCCTACATCTAATCAACAGCACTTGGCACACAGATGTCTTTTTCTATTTTTTAAAGCATCATGCAAATATTTACACATCCCCTTTGCTACTAAAGGATTCCCAAGTACTTTAACAATGGTACTACGCATCCCTTATGCCATCCTAGATAGCTCCTGGTCACCCGTGGTGTTCTCACCACCCAAATGTCCAATCAGTTATCTGTCCCCAGTGCCTTAGTCATCACTTATCTTGGGGTAGGTATATTTAGTTCCTTTGGGCTTTCCTCATGTTAGCATTGTGATTTGCCTAATGTAAATATGAGGGAAATCTTCCTGCTGTGGAGGCTGTAGAATATTCTCCCTGGGTAGGTGGTGGAAGCTTCATCCTTTGGGACATTTTAAAATTAGGCTGGACAAAATACTAAACATTGTTCTGGAAGGCACAATCCTGTCCTTAAAGGAAGATAGAAACAAACCTATTAAGACATCAGCCTCTCTAATTTCCTCTAATAATCCACCCTTCCCCACATTTGTTCTGCAGTTTATCATTATTGGACATTAGAATCATAGAATATCAAGGTTGGAGGGACCTCAGGAGATCATCTAGTCCAACCCCCTGCTCAAAGCAAGGCCAATCCCCAGGCAGATTTTTGCCTCAGATCCCTAAATGGCCCCCTCAAGGATTGAACTCACAACCCCCTGGGTTTAGCAGGCCAATGCTCAAACCACTGAGCTATCCCTCCCCGCTGTAACCTATTGCTGTAACCTAACTGAATGTGCTTATTCTGCTTGCTCCGAACATTGGAGCCACTAGGCATAGTCACTTTGTGTTCATTCTGCTCATGCAGGTACAGGGGACTCAAGCACTTAATTGGGAATGCCTAGTGAAAGTCAAACAGAGATCACAGGAATGATTCAGAGCATCTCACTGCCCTTGTATAGAAGGAAAACAAGAGGCTGACACTTAGTAACCATCCTGGGGAGTGTCCAACATCTTCAAACCAAGCAACTGTCCTTATTTTAGCAAGGCAGCTTTTGCAGGCAAAGCTCATTCTTGTTAGGGACTCTAAAAGCTATTTCAGTGGATCTGACACATGTGCCTGTTCTTAAAAGCGTTACCAGGAGTGAGCCTATTCAGCCCACTTTCCCATCAAGCTAAGAGCATCAGAGGTTCCATAGTCAATAAGCACCCATAAAACATAATTAGCTTTCTCCAGCTCTGAATGGGTCTTTCTTGAAATGACAATGTAACTGATTTATTAGGACGTTAGCCTTCCCTGGGACCAAACAAATGGGACTGAGAATCAATGCAAGTCATTAGTTACGGCCGTGTTATAAATGGGTAGGCCCCCCAATAATCAACAGCTGCTTTGCATGAAAGCAGAAGGGCAAAATTTACAGCTTCGGCTTGGCTTTCAGGCCTCTTTAAAAAGCTCTTTCCATGAGGACGGAGACACAAACAGTGCATTTTTGGAATCTTTCTAGAAGCGCTGCCAGCTGGCCTTAGCAACTGCCTTCTTCTCCAACACCTTCTGACTGTCACTTTCACTTTAAAAAAAAAAGCAGATGAGTGCAGTAAATTAAGGAATGCAAATTACCATGTTAACGTCTCAGCAGGAGGTATAACAGCAATAGACTCCACACCACTGGATTAGCCTGCCCTTTGAAAATGAGATGGGAATAATGGGCTCACAGTAAAAAGATTATTACCTTTTCGGGATTTATCTATTCTCCTGCTACGAAAGGGACTCAATACAGATAAGTCAGCAATAAATGATCATTTAACCATCTAACTATTGATGCTGCTTCCTCATAAAAACTGCTACAGGGTTTGTTATTCAAGAAGGACTGTGTGTGGTTTTGATGGTTATGTATCTACATGATTTAGAATTCTTTGCAAAAGTAATGAGGCTCTCTGGGATAAATCTCAAATATTTACAAAGGTTAGACGTTAGATACTGTCTTCATTATCGCCTCCCTCCGAAACCAGCCAGGGCTGTGAAGTAAACTTGGTAAATAAAGAGCTTGGCAAACTTTTCAAGCAAAGTGTGTGACTAACACCAGAGTGCTGCTTGCTAAGGCAAAGTGGTGACATTTCATGGATTAGAAAGCCATGTTACAAACAATAAAGAAAGAAGTTTAAACGCTAATAATCTTACTTTTCATTCAAATGGATCCCAAAGCAGTTTGCTATTTTATCTGATTGTACAAGCTATATAATATACATACACTCGTGTGTATGTATATACAAGGTATACAAGTACGTATTATGGAGAGTTAGACCTACACATTGTTTACCTCAAGGTAATTCATGCACATGAGCGATTCTCAGGTAAAAACACAGTGAAAACAAGGCTCTTGAGGTTTACTGTGAGAAAAACTTGCCAAGGTCAGCACTATACGTACCCCTGCCTGCCTGAGACTGACCAAAGTGAGTTTACCTCGCACTAAAGCAACAGTGCCTAGTCTTCACTGTGGCCAAGTCTATGCTTAAAATGTAGGTTGACCTAATTACATTGCTCAGGAGTGTAAAAAATCCACAGCCTGGAGCTACATAAATAAAGCGACTAACCCACACTGTAGATGCCACTAGGTTGATAGAAGAATTCTTCAACCTAGCTACTGCCTCTCAGAGGGGCAGATTAACTACAGCAGTAGAAAAACCCCTTCTGTCACTGTAGGAAATGTCTACACAATGGCGCTACAGGAGCACGACTGAAGCACCATAGCTGTGCTGCTGTAGCACCAGTAGTGTAGATATTGCTTCAGTTTTTACCTCAGGATAGCTCATGGGCATTAATTATACTGAGGTAAAAAACACAGCTTTTTGACAGTGAAGATAAGCCCTTGGTTGTTGCTCAATAGTTAAGGTTGAGAGTAACTTTCTGTTATAAGGCCAATTTTCCCCTCATTCTCACTTGAGTTCCTCAGAAGATGGACCTTTCCACTTCACATTTTGCATGTGTGGTCTGTGTCCTGTCCAGCAGAAGTGTCTCTTCCTCTGCCCCCCCACCATCTGCCCTCACCACCCTCAAGCTGGAGATGTGTTTGGACAAGGCAGTTTTTGGAGGGCCATGGCATGCAGGAGACACAGGTGTTTTGGAAATTTCTTCTAACTGTTTCTTTTTTGCCCTGTCTTTCAAACAAAACTGGCTCCTCCTAGGAAATTTACCTGATGTTTACTTGAAAGATCTGGGTGAGATCTTATGCACAAGACCAATTGTGAGCTGAGTAGAGGCATGTTTAGGGAGCTATTCACTAGCAAATTAGGAACATCAGATGGGTCTTTTCAACATTTTAATGGGCACCACTGACGAATGGAAATCTAATCTTTCACTTAAGTGGGGGAGGGGGAGAAAGGAAGAGTCTCTAGCCATTTCCTTGTAAGGTTCAAATTATAAACTATTGCAGAGAAGTTTGTCACAGTGATTTTTCCAGTGAAAAATTTAGGGGAAAACCACAACTTATCTATCCAGCCATTTGCAAAGATAGAGATCACTGGCGCACGCACATACACACAAAAGCAGCATGGACATCTCAGCCATTTACAGGCTCTTCTGTGGTGCTCATTCATCACTATGGCATCTGAGCACTTCAAAAATACCAATTAAGCAAGCCTCATAAAACCCCTGTGGGGTAGAGAGGTCCAGGGAATGGGACACTGGCAGGGAATAGGGATTCTGTTCCCAGCTGGGCTTGCAGACTTCTTGTGTAACTTTGGGCAAGTCCCTTCATTCTGTGCCTCAGTTTCCCCTCTGATTGTCTGTCTTGTTGCCTCTTCAGGGCAAGAATTGTCTCATTCTGTGTGTTTGTACAGCGCCTAGCAAAATGAGACTCCGATCTTGATTTGGGGCCTCTAGGTGCCACCAAATACAATAAGATAGCAAAATATTATTAAGTAATTATATATTATAGGCACAGAGGGATTAAGCAACTCACACAGGCTGTCGGTGGCAGAGTCAGGACTAGAACGCAGACCTCTTCAATCCCAGTCCATTTCTTTACCCATAAGACCAGATTTCATCTCACAGCCAAATGTGGCAAATTTGGTATAAAATTCAGCTACATTTTTGCAGTTTTCTTCTCCATTATCCACCGAGTTGTACTTGGGGGAAATTGGCCAAATGGACAGTTGGGGAAGCGCAAAGCTACATAGCCCCAAATATGTATATCGGGGTCACTGGCTCAGTAGTGAGAGACTAGCACCAACTATCGAATCACTAGTACCATTTCCTCCAGTACAAGGACTTTGAAGGTATCCCATCTGAACAACAGCCCAATATTTTACCATGTCCCTCAACGGCATGCGATTTGTTCTACTTCACAGCATGGCCGTTTGCAACTGAAAAATCTTTTATAAAATCCAATTCTGAACTGTTTCAAGTCAATCTCTCTCTCTCTGGAAACTCAGCTGTGGGGAACCTCTGAAATTTGTGAAGTACTCACCCGGCATGCATGAATATGTAGGTTAGGTACCTCCAAGCCTGAGCACGGAGCTGAGGATGATACACTAATGAGTTCTTCAGGTATAAAGGATGGGTGACTTGCAGCACAAATCTGTCTAATACCACTCCGTTGTAAAGAAAAAAGGCAACCTAGAAAAGCAGGGAGAGTCTTCGGTTAATGAACACCATCCCTCCACTGAAATAAACTACAATCCAACATCCAAATTGCGTAATAGGTTCCCCCAGCTATTACAACATGCTTAGACAGCACTAAAGCGTACTAGCCATTTACAAACATACATGATTACAAGGTTCCTGCTCTGAGGAACTAACAAACTACATTAAGATACAAGTATGCTCACACTTCTTATCAAACTGTCTGTACTGGGCTATCTTGATTATTGAAAAAAAAGTGTTGTTTTTTTTTCCTCTTAATTGGCCTCTCAGAGTTG